CACTGGTTTCCCTTTAAAACCAACCAACATGTGTCTTTTTTCCAGGCCCCCCCCAACAAAATGGTGGCTTTCCTGCTGGTTTTCCTTTAACCAAAACTGGCTCCCTTAACTCAGTTGTTCAGTGGCACCCTTTTTCCTTTTTTTTTGGTGGCCACTAAAAATGGTCTTCCCTAAAAAGGGTTCCTTTTTGTTCTCCAGGTTCACTGAACAACTGGGTTCAAAAGCACACACCCATTTGGAGTCAGGCCCACTTGCTCGCGCGCCTAGATGCGCCCAGGTGGGGCTCTGACTTTCCCTACTGCTCTGAGCACGGGACCTACGGGGACCATGTGCCTTGTAAGCAGAAAGGGAGTGTCGGTTTCTCTTCCCTTTTTGGAACCTCCAAAAGTAGTAGTTACGGAAACGGGGTCTCTGAAATCCCCAAAATGTTTGGACCTCCAAAAGTGGCAGTGCTGATTGAACCCACCTGCAAATTGCGACTGTTGATGGAGAAAATCCAGTGACACCTGTTTGTGCTGCTCTTGATCTTCAACTCTTCAGACGGAATGGTTATTTGGAGGCCACAGTTTTGACTTGCTCGCAACGTGCTTGTTATCGCTCAACCGAGCGATAGCCTGGGTTTTGGGAACAAAAATCCATCTTTCCAGGTTTCAAAGACCTTGCCTGTGTCTCTGTGTTTTTGAGGGACCCAGAAACTGGGTGCCTCATGGCAATCCAGTTCTTTGGTCTAGACCGAGGTCAATGAACAGATGGCTTGCCGGGGGCTGGTTGCCCAGGTGTCGGTGTTGGGAGAAATAGGATTATTTTCCACCGGGAACCGATCAGAACCGGTTTGAAACCAGGGGCATCCCTGTTTGTTCCGACGTGATCTCAACAGGACGCCTATGGCTGGTTGTTCTGGGTGAATGTTTGGTAGCATATTATATCTTTACTCTTTCCTAAAATGATGAGACACAGAACAACATGAACTCCCACCCTCCCTCCCACTAACATGGCACTGCATAGAGGGTCGCTTGAAGAGGAAATGGATCTTCCAGATGCCCTCCCACAACTGCTTGTGAGAGCAAGGTTGGATCTGATGTTTGATGTTGACGCAACCTCTTTGTTGTCCCGGAAAAATCCGGTTGGCGGGGAAAAACAAACCCTCCACCAAACTAACGTGGAAGCTCCTAGGGCCCCCTTGGAAGACTTGGTTCCAGTTACAGAGGCCAAGTGGGGGGGGAGATTCCGGCTGTTCGCCTGAGGAAATCCCGAAAAATCAAGAAAACGGGTGGGTGGCTGTGGTCCTGTGGGTATCTGAGGTACAGCCCCTTTGTTGGTTTCCCGAAAAAAGGGGGTTGGTGGGTTTGGTCCGATCTCGTCTGAGGTGCAAGCTCTGGAGTCCTGGCCTGTTTGGCAGGACATGTCCGAGGCAGACAAGCATCGCCTGCTGTGCCTCGGCGGGAGGGACAGGACCCAGAGACGCCGGGCTCCGCGTGGGCGCGGCATGGCCGTGTTTTGAGCTAGTGTTGTTGTTGGTGGCATCACAGGGAATGCTCACTTGTCACCGGCTCAGCAAAACAATAGATGTCAACCATCGTTGTTCTGTGTCGTGAATGACTCACTTCCTCAAAGCGTCTTTGGTGGTCAGGGTTGCGAATCTCAAAACGAAGAGCCACAAGGGTAGCTCAGTCGTGTATTCTTGTTCGGTACTGTTTGTTTCTGGGTGGCTGCCAGGACAAACGTTTTGGAACCTAACCAGTTCAGGCTTCCAGGAAGGCAGTTGGGGATACTGCTTGGGCTGTTTGTTCCTCATCTTCGTTGTGGCTGTGGTAAAGATTGTTACCTGTTGGGCCTGCTACTGCATTCCTTTTGGCTGGGATTGCTTTTGCGGCCTTGGTATAAGTTCCGGGCAGGTTCTAGGGAGGATCTGGGGAAGTTCCAGCGAGGTTACGGGGAAGTTCCAAACAAAATAAACGGTAGGCGCTGCTGTTGTTGGATGCTCTTTTTGGTTTGTTCCATTGGCTGGAAGAGTGGGGTCAACTGACCAAAATGCCCGCAGCGCAGGACTGGTAGATGAACTGCGGTGAACGGACCCTGTCGCAAAAAAGACCTTTGAGTTTGGGAAAAGGGGTGGTCCTTTTCCACATTTGCTTGCAGCTTGAAGCCAAAGTGCACCTGTGAAAGTTTAGCTGCAAGGCCCATCGTAGGATCCTGGTACAGTGGATGCCCCATGCGTCGCAAGGGGAACAAGGCAGGCCCTATGCTTTGAAATGTGTTGGAGCTTCATGGTTGGCTGTGGTTGGTTCACTTGCAACAGTTCGCACATGGAAGCTCGTTCGATGGTTGTTTCAGTAAGAACGGTTTCTGTTAGGAGCCTGATCAAAAGAGCCGTGCTCCAGGGTAATTTAAGCATCTCCGTTTTCGGAACTGCCACAATTCTGAGTTTTCTCTAGGTGACTGATGTTTGAAGTTGACACGTGAACTCGCTCCCCCCCCCCCCTCCAAAGGCTAGTGCTGGGCTTCTCTGATGGTCAGGACCAATTTGGTCCCTGGGTTTAGGGTTTGGCTTGTCAATCAACTTTTCCGAAGTTTGACTCAAAGGACAAGAGTTTAAATAAACCTTTTCTGGTGATCACAATGACATAATGACTAGGGCTTTAGTTAACCAAGGCCAAAGGTGTGTGTGTCTGTGTGTCTGTGTGTCTGTGTGTCTGTGTGTCTGTGTGTCTGTGTGTCTGTGTGTCTGTGTGTCTGTGTGTCTGTGTGTCTGTGTGTCTGTGTGTCTGTGTGTCTGTGTGTCTGTGTGTCTGTGTGTCTGTGTGTCTTTGGATTACACCTCGAGTCAACAATGTCATACAACAGTCCAGATCTGGTCTTTATCTCTAGCCTTCCGTTGAGGTTTGAATAAGGGCTCCAGAAACGCCGTCAAGTGCAAGTAGGGCCATGAACTTTGAGAGTTGGAACCTCGAAACTGGTTGGTGGACAACTTCATCCCTACCAAAATCATTGGTGTGCACACTATTTCGGGTCCATTCTTAAAAACAACAACTCTAAGGCTTCAAAACCAGCGGGTTGGCAGCCCCCAACCGGAGCTCTCCGCGCGAGAGATTCGCCGCGATGCCAGCGAGAGGTACGGCACGGCGGCGGAGCTGTATGGACTGTGCGAAAAGGACCCGGGAAGTGGAGATGTCCATCCCCTCTATAGATGGGTGGGTTGTTTTTGTTTTTGGTCTTGGGGGGGGAACCCGTTTTGGTCGGGTTTAAAGGGAGGCCAAAAGGAAACCAAGCAATATCTTGGGGGGGGCCCTCATTTTGAGGATGAAATTGGGGGGAAGGGGTCATCGACTCCTGGAGATCTCCATTTAAGTCTAAACTTTTTCCTTTGCAATCAGGCGATTGGAGGGTGTTCGAAGAGAGAGTTTTCTTGGCAACCTGACACCTGTCTACTTCCATGGTTGCCTTTTGTGGTGAAGACAAGAAACATGGAATTGGCGTCCTCCTTCCTCCTTCACGATAGGGAAGCTGTTAGAATTGCCGGATTGGGCCGATCTCCAGACCTGAAGCTCGCAATGGTCTTGAATGCTGCCTGCGAGAAGACGCCGGCAAAGTTTGTGATAATGAGTCTATGGAGTCCAAAACAATGTGTTGATTCTGTTTGGAGTACCATTTTGTTGAATATCCTGGATTCCCAAGTGCGGGCTCTTTGAAGGGTACGTAGCTCTCATTGCAAGAACGCCTGTGCCTCTCGCAGGAGCTATAGCTCTCCTTACCTAAGGAGGTGTGACCAATGCGGCCATTTTCGAGGAAAAAGCAGCGAGGGCATTGCAGCCACTGGGAGGTGGGTGTTTCTCAAAATCGTGGTCCCATTGCGGGTGGTTTTAAGCGGAAAACCAAAGGAAACCAACCGCCAGGGGTCCCGAAACGCTCGTATATGGGTATCTTTGTGGAAAGGGGGTCCCCTTCCCAGGAAACCAAAAGGAAACCACAGGAGCCTCCCCGGTTTTGAGACAGAGCCGATACCCGTCTGTTACCAGTTTTTGACCAAAGTCATGCAGGAACACTCAAGGATGGCAGATGTCCGTCGATCTTGAAGGACCAATTATATAAAAAGCACACAAGCAAATGCTCTCAGGAAGCCCGATTCTGGGGTTCGGAAGGTTGAAGTATGCTGGGGCTTACAAATGCAGGGGGACCGACATGTTCGCATCCTCGCGCGGAAATTCTTTGCGGTTGTGAGAGATTTTCTCGAGCAAAACGGGTACGTTGGCTTTCGCCAAGCGCTCTAAACAATTTCATGGACCCAAGAAGGATCGTGCCAATGTATTCCCGGAAAAGTTGCCAGAATTTTCTTTCCAAGAGTGCTTTCCAGTTGAGTTGGCAAGCACTCTTTGTTTTGCTGGTCGGTTTCTTCATCATCTTGCCAAGGCCCAGCAACTTTGAGTTTTTTTCTCGGCAGTCAACTCACAACAGGGCGTTCCCTTTACCGCACTCCCCTGCAACATGGAACCCGAACCTGGGACCCCTCTACAATTTTGAGGCCGTTTTGGGGGGGTTCCATGTCAATCCGTAGGGGAGTGGCAGGCATTTCGTTCTAGTCATCAAGAACGTCTTGGGTGCATAGGTGTCCTATTTGGTTGTTTTGGTGGAAAATAGATGGTTTTGGTTTACCTGGTGGTTTAATCATCTACTAGGGCCGACTAGGGCCATCTATTTGCCCTAAAAGGACACCTATGCTTGGGTGATCTTGGGTGATCATTTTCAGGAACATCCCGTTGTTTCCCTGAGTGGGTTTCTCGAGATGTCAAAGCAGCTTCGGGCTTGATCCCTCGTTTCAACTGGCAGCAAATCTTAGGGACCCACCTTTAAAGTGGTCGGTGATTCTTAGGTCAATTTGGTTGAAATACATGGCTCTGAATTTGAATGGGGACCCTCCCAAATGCTTGGTGAGCATGAATCCCCACCTAAATGAGGTCAAAGTTCACATCCTGCTCGACCACTCCGCGACCTGCCCGCATGAGGCCGCATCGACATGTGCGGTTGGCAGACCGTGGCAGCCAGAAGCTCGCCAGAGGCATGGGAGACGGTGGTGAGTCCATTGTCTAGGGGTGGCAGTACATACCCCTTGTTGATACCCCTTGGCTTCCCTGGCTTCCAACCCACTGTACAAGGGGTATATACCCCTTTTGGGAGAGGGGTATGAACATCAGCAGGGGTATGTACAAGCTTCCCTGGACATTGGATTCCTCGTGAGTTCCTGGAGTTGAATCATTTTGGGAAGACCATTTAGTGCTAACCAGAAAGAGGGGACTATTTTCTGCCATTCCACTCAGGAACCAAGACTCAACACCCATTGCTCTAGCTTGATCATTTTTTGTAAGGGGCCTCCTTTGGTGGGGCAGGGTGTGAAGCAGCACGCGTGCGCGATTGCGTGCAGGCGTGCGTCGTGCTACCCATGCGCAGGTCATCGTTTGGTCGCTGGAGAGCGATCCCGCGACCACTTGCAACTGGCACCTCCGACGGGTTTGGCAGCTGCCGTTTTTCGTTCGCGGGGCGGGCTGCCCTGGGATATCCAACATACGGGCCCTGGGACCTGGGTTTTCCGCTTCAAGAAGCTGCCCCGACATGAGCCTCCTAAAGTTTCAGGCTACCCCCGAAATTGGCGCCGTTGTTTGTTCTACATTGATGTTTTTTCTTCCACAAGACATCTGAGCAACGCGACTTTCAGATTGGCGCCCTGGCACTCTGCCACTCGAGGGCCAGACCAGAAGCCAGACATGTCTGGCCCACTCACGGGCTTTCGCATGGGGAGTTAGTTTGCTGTAGCTGTTGGGTACGCTAAGTGACTTGCTGCTGCTCAGTCGGAATGTGGAAATGACCCTTGTAAATCATCACTTGTGGTTATGACCTCTAATTATCAACCATCCAACTGGTGGTTTCCTTGAAGGGAATCCCAAGAGTCACTCCATGTCTCATTCCCTACTCATCGCACCAGCCAGCTTTCAGCACTCAATAGGCTGTTGGAGGAGGACGTGGATCAGAACACCCTCGAGGGTTTGGACTCCAGGCGCGGGCGATTCTCGGAAGTCAGTCAGGCCCGACCTGGCACCAGTTTTCTTGGTGTTTTTTTCCAGCCATGGGCGAATAGTGGAAGGTTCCATTTGACTTGCTAAAAGTGAAACTTTGAGCAGGGGATCTGAGGGACAGCCCAGGTTTGCACACACACACACCCACACACACACACACACACCCACTCCCCCACACACCCGCCACCACCCACCCACCCACCCACCATCCACCCACCCACCCACCCACCCACCCACCCACGCACGCACGCACGCACGCACGCACGCACGTACGCACGCACGCACGCACGCACGCACGCACGCACCCACAAACACACACACAGACATTTAGACACAAACAAAACACACCCTTAGATGGGTAGATGGGATCAGGCGAACCCGAAGTGGCACGCTGCCTGGTTTTCCCAACCAAGAGGATTTTCCCAACAACGATACCCACAATTCATAGGCACTTCATATTATGGGGGGTGTCTTTTTGGGGAACCCCTCCAAAATGATGGTTTTTGCGTTTGGTTTCCCTTTAAACACACGTAACAACGGGTACAACAAAAAAACAGGCCCAATGGTTGTGTTTTTTCCATGCCAAGCATCGCTTTAGGCTTTCAACCGAGCTACCTTCAAGTGTGGGGAGAGTTGAAGATGGTGTTCATGGGTTCACGCATTCCTCCGCTGTGCCCCATGCCAGGTTTTTCAAACATGGCCCTTTCAAACATGGCCCTTTTTGCGTACGGTTTGGTGGCCAGGGGGAGGTTGGGGGATAGTAAGGCCGGGTAGGGCACCCTTCGGAGTTCCTTGGCCGGAAGTTATTGTTCGAATGCAGCATGGCCTTGTTTCTCCAGCACTGGGACGTCTTTTTGGGGCAGTTGCCCCTTTCTGTTTAAGATCTTATGGGCCGTGCCCTAGTTTAGCTGCTCGTCGATGTGTTGCATCGTTGTCCAAGCCTTGATGTGCTGTGACAGTTGAGGGCCACCAAGAGGTTTGCAGGACTGTTTTTTTGCGGTATGATGTTCACGTTCGGTGAGGCAATGAGGTACGTGTAAAAAGAGTTCAGTGAGAAACAGGTTTATAGCATCATGCAGGAATTGTTGGACACTTTGCACATTTGAACGCAGATCAGAGGACCCTTTGCATGTTGTTCTCGGACAAATGGCGCTTGGCGTTCCGAGTATGCGTGCATATGTTTGTTCACTTTTCCCGCAGGGCAAGGATGGCGACTTGTTGTGGTCAGGGCTGCTTTTTTGCCGAATGTTGAAGAACATGCACCAGGATAATGCAGATGAATTGAATTCGCAGCGCATGCTGATCGCGCTGTCTATTTTCAAGTCGGCTCTCTCTTTCATGGCCCAGCCTTCATGCAATACATGTAGAGCATGACAAAAAGTCCAACCCCAATTTACATTTGCGTGTGGCTGTGGTTATGAACCGACTAGTCCGGCCAGCCAGCAGGAACATCATCCAGGGCAAGCGTCGGCGCGCCAAGGCGTAGGGGGCATGTTTTTTTTTTTGGAAAGGGTTCCCTTCACAACTCAACCTTTTTTCCCCATGGCCACTTGGCATCTGAGTTTGCATCTGGTTTGACCTTGAGCTGTGGGAGTAAATGCATATTGCTCTCGCTAGCTGCTAAAAGTCGTTTAGGGGCTTCGCTTTGCCGGGTTGCTTGCAATGTTTGGTTTGCACAATATTCTGAGCCCTGAATCCTCTGCAAATCAATGTAGAACCTCAAGTTGGTGGATTTTTTTCTCCAATGCAGGTGCCTCTAGGAACGAGGGTTGTCAGGCATGTTTGATATCACTTTCACGAAGGCAGCGCAAAACAAATAACTACGGAACTACAAGCGGTTTGAAGTAACAGCTGCCGTCTGACAACGCTGTGCTCAACACTAAATTCAATCAAAGAAGCTCCTGTATAGCAACTATTATTCTCAAGTGGTTTGCCCTCAGTGTTGATGTTGAACCAGCGCGGGTTGACTGTCGACTTGCTCTGTATCCGTTTGAGTGCCGAGAACCTCTATTGGCCATGATTCAGGAGGGTTTGATTCGAGTGACACCAAAAGGTATCTGCGCTGCTCACCCGCTTTGGGTCACATTTCTTTCTGGCAGCAAATTAAGTTGGGAGCTTGGCCGGCCTTTGCCGCCCCTGCTTGCAAGCACCTAAAGCAGCGCGCCGCGTCACCAGGGTTCCCACATGCGCCGCTACCTTGTGTCACCTTCACATGAGAGACCATCCACACAAGCTCACCGACGCCTATTCAGTTCTTCATGTGGGGTTGATCAACAGGTCCTTTACATGGGATGGCCATGAAGGAAAACCACCCAAAAGGCCTTCCCACTAAACAGGCAAAGTTACCCATGGTGAAAACAGGGGGCTGAAGGGAGTATCGATCAACCCCCATGCTTGTTGAGTACTGAGTAGGCCTGCCAGTCTTTCTCAGGCTCCAGACTGCGCGCCCCAAAGCCAAAAGGGAGTGAGAAACCTCGTAGCACCGAAAACAATGAGCTTAGTTGAGGCCTCTCCAAGCGCTTGGTTGTGTTTGTCCCTTCGTTTGGACCTTCAGAAGCTGCAGCCTTGCCGGACTCTGCCGATGAATTTGCAACTCGCGTCTTTTGTGGAAATCCACTGACCTGTGTGGGTTTGGTTGGCGCACTTGCGCAAGACTTAGCTTGGCTGTTTTTGGTTTGCCATTTTGTCTGTTTCCTTTACCTTCCCTTTCAACCTCCAACAACCTCTCACTTTCTAAAGAGTGCTCTATTTTCCCCCGTTGGCTTTAAAGGGAACGTGTCACTGCTGATTATGCTGTGGATGGACGAAATGCGTTCGCACCACCGACGAAACCCTGGAATGCTGATTCCCTTGTACTTACCAACAAAGACCATCTAAGGTCACTATCTAAGCTGATCCTTGTGAAAGACCAGCAAAAAGGCCAAGCATCAAGAGTTTTAACCAAGGTTTCAACTTGGTGCCCAAGAAATTAATTTCGTCCACCCAGAGTTCGGTCCGCTTTTGCCCGTCCAGAGGCCCCCGGGTCCCGCTGAGAGTTTCTGGCACTCGCGAGGTGGACTATGCCGCCCTGGAGCGGCAGATCGATCAAGAGCAGAAGAAGACCCAGGCGTCGGCATTGCGCGCGCGCCGCGAGGGGTGCGCTTAGGGCTCAGTTGTTCAGTGGCACCCTGGTCCTTTTTTTTTTGGTGGCTGCCCCACTAAAAATGGTCGTCCCAAAAAAGGGTTCCCTTTTCTTCCAGGGTCACTGAACAACTGAGAGGGTCAGGCGGGTGGTGAGGTGCTTTCTCTCCAAAACGGGAAGCCTAAAAAGGCGACACAGCCTTTTGAGCACCCGAAAAGAGAAAGAAGAATGCGAAGGTAGAACACGCTTTCAGAGGCTGGAAACTCCCAGCTCAGACGAGTGACTCAGGCTGGCTTAAGGTTGATCTAGCTGGTGGAACCCTCCGAAGGTTGGTGTCTTTTGGTTTCCCTTTAAAACCTCAAGAACGACACCATCAAAACAAGAGTATTTTATCACAACGGAGCACCTTTGAACCTACAAAACGGACTATGCAAGTATGCCGACACACACACACACACACAGGAGCCACAATCAAAACCGGGGTAGATGAAGGTTAGTGAGGGGCAGTCCCAGCCAGAAATAGTTGCGGCCGCCTTCTTGATTCTCTACATGGTTCTGGGTAGACCATTTTGATACCTGGTTTTGATTGTGTCTCACATTTTCAATCAGCCAGTTGTTAAACTTGGGCAGGTGGCGCCCTATGTTGGGAACTTGTCCGCATGTTGTGATTTAATACGGGTCCTGTCCCTACAGGGCAGAATTTCATGGAAGTCCGGTAGGCTGAATTTCCTGTTTAATTCAGTTGCCGATGGCTTGTTCTCGTGAGGGTAGCATTTTGTCAAAACGTGCAGGCGGTTGTCACGATTCTTTTGAA